CTGAACATTCGAGAGCTAGCTGCTGTCTTCGAATCAAATCCTTAGCATGCCGTAGAGCTAGCAACGCCAATGAAGTGAGTAGCGCGTGGGGTTTTGCGTTTTTACGGATTGTACACCTCTAATGCAATAGAAAAAAACAAGGTTTCTATTTATTTCCAAAGATTAGCGAGAACGTTGGAATAGGATGTGAAAGTCGTACTATTTGATAAGAGGATTATTTTTGAACTAGGACAGCGTTTTTCTTCTGGAAAATTCTTTTCTCAAATTTGCAAAAGTCATGGTCATCTTCAAGGGTTTTTAGGATTACTTTACAATAGCCCAATTTTTTAACGGGTAAATTTACTCACAATTAGGGCTGATTTGATCTCATTCTAGAGCCTCTGTGTGAGTCGCGCTAATTATAGAAATCATAGAAGAGGTTATCATGAATTTGCGTGAAAAGTGCTCAAGTGCTAAATGGCATGCTGATCACGGCAATTACATCTCATCTGCAGGATGGGATATACGGTAAGGAAGGAAGCCTTCAATTTCAAAAAGATGGTGCTTATTTGTACGATTTCTTAGTGAAAATCTACAACATTTGGGTATAAAGACGAATGTCCTTGTTGCCAAAAATACACTATTTATGACATTGCTACGATTGATTAATTTGAAGATTCGAACCTAGCTGTTTTCAAACTCAAAATTCATTTTAGCGAAATTTTTATTTTAACCAGCTATGCATACAAATCACTTACCTAACCAAATGAACTGCTCATGAGGTCTTGTGAACATTGTAAGTACCTGCAAAATCTACAGTAAAACGTTATAAAATTGTTCACGAAGTAGCACGAGCAAACACACGAAACAATCGGCAGGAGTATAAGCTGGAGGCTTGCAGGTCTTGGTGCATGACGGATATTTATATTACTGGCTATCTAGTTTCAGTCAGCATCCAAAAGTCCACTTGAATGAGAATTATTTGAGAACGCTAGACAAAAGTGCTGCACTTTATTGCATGCCCGTGCAACATTTTCCTTTTTTAAATACGCTATTCTTTGTAAAATCAAATGATCTTTGATCTAAAGGTCTATAGTGAATTTATTTTCAAAATCTATGCCTCTGTCAGATTAAAGATCAACGTTCTTTACTTAAAGCTTAGGAAATGTTTAATGATGGGAGAGGGTTTTTGTTGAGTATTTAATGGAGTTCCATGCCATATGCATTAATTGAAGCCGCTTATGCAACGGCAACAACTTCATGACGTTTGCCCGCTAAAAGTAAAGCTTTCTGGTGCTTACATTCACTAGCACATTAAATTCAGAAAATCAAATAAATGAACCAATGCCACCTTTTACAGCCAATGTTTTGTGCAATCAGAGTCTAAGACAAAATCGTACTCTGCGAAAATGTTGCAGTTGAAAACCATGGATTTCAGTAAGGAACTTGACGGAGTACGAAAGTTTCGCTCCAAGATCTTGAAGGGAAATGGTAAAATTTCTCTTGATGGTTTCTACGGTAGCATTCTTTTTACCAGTCCCGCTTCCCTCTGGAAATAGCATCAGCGTAATTTTTTTATTCAAGTAATATGTTTATTTGTTTTATTTCTTGATGTACTCAAAGTGCGCCAGTGGAAATTTTGAAAAATAATAAATTAGAAAACAAAAGCCAGTCTGTCAATCTGAGCTAATTTGGACACATAAGTCCCCG